TTTACTCCTATCTGCAGCTGCTCTTCTAAAATTTAATAGCATTACAAACAATTGGAATAAGAATGCTTTTTGCACTGATACGTTTCTAGATTGGTTATGCATGTAGTGTGTACATCAACAGCTCAGCTCTGACAAGCAGTTGTACAGAGAGGTAATAAGTACATGCATGGCCTTTAGGTAGCTCACTTGTATTTGTGGTGCCTTGTCTTGTCTTTGTGATATAAACCAAAAAGAAATGGTCTTCACTGTAAGGTCTAAGATCATAGTTTTGTGCTGTTATTATTGAGACAATTTTATTATTGACAGGTACCGTGAAAAAGCAAAGAGGGATATTGCTGCTGTGGGTAGCCATGCTGCTAAATTGTTACAGTCCCTAGGAAAGGTAACTACAAATATATGGCATTTCTAACAGGACATAAATATTTTTCTTTTGTTCTGTACAACTCTAAGCCAAAAGAGACAGATAAGAGCTTAATTATATAATTCTTTGAAAGTGCCCAAGTGATTTCTAATGATGTTTATTATCTGTGGTTTGTTTTATCTATCACTTTCGGCCTAGTCTTATAAAATAAAACCAAAATACACAGATGCCTGCATTATTCACCGATCAAGAACTTGTTTTACAAAAGCGAATAGTTATTTCACAACTAGTGTGTTAATGTCTCTGAAAACATGGTGTGTTTGGCCACTGTGTGTACTGTGAGAAGTATATTCTCTGTTCTAGGCGCCCGAATCAATTTCGGAGAGAGAACTGAAATTACTTTGTGAGTATGCTTAGATTCCATTGCAGTGATTATGAAAATAATGAAATATTCAGAAATGCTTGGATGATCATGGAGTTGCTAAATGTTACCTCAATATTTGAGCTTTCCAAGTGTTTGCTGAGCATTTGCATCCCTCATCTTCAGTGGAGGTAATATGTTAGCATGTTTCAGTAGTGAGTCTACAAGGACTGGCTTTAAAACAGATGCAGTACTTCTCAGGTCCAAATGTCAGGCAGCAGGTTGCCTCTGCTTCCTGTGATTAAATACCTCATTGCTCATGTGCAGTACAAATGTTAGAGTGTGAGCTCTGTAAACTTCTTGTAGTCTGTAAAGATAGAACAGGGATGTAGGGAGGAGTAGGGAGGTGTACTGCTCATGGCAGTTCAGGTCATCTGTGTTGAGTATGCGTGTGTGACCACACAGCAGCCTGAATCATCTTGCAACTGGAAAACTTGCCTGTAAGCATGCCACCAAGAGCATGCTGCACTGATTGATCTTTTGCTATGCTTTTTGAGTTCTGGGTAGTAACTGCACATTGGGTTGGTTTGTTGCAGTAATGCTGGAGGAGAACCTTTTTACTGCTTATTCTCAATTCAGATTCTAACAGTACAGCTATATGTTAGATAGTGGAAAATAGAGAACCCATGTTTGTTTTCAGCATGGAAGAGGGCAACGTGAACCCGATGGCTGTGGTGGGTAAATTGCTTTAAAGGAGATGCACACACTGTGGGCTGTTACATTAGCACAACAGTTATGTTTAGAATCCAGAACTAAATAAGCAAAAAATAGGTCTTAAGTGCTTGTAAATCATAGATGTAAATGTTCTCTAATACTTAGTAGTTTGAGCTACCAGAAGAAACAGAAGTGTCAATACAGTGATTAGTTTTACTCCTTGATTTTAACAAATCAGAGATATGCATTCATAGATTCAGTAATTGTTGACACATTCAATAAGCAATGCTCTTTTTTTTTTTTTTTTTTTTTTGTACCTTCTGCTTAGGCAGCAACTCAGCTTTTCTTCGTGTAGTGAGATGTAGATCTCTGTCTGAAGAATATGGTTTAAACACTTTTAATAAGGATGAAATTAGTAAGTACTCCTTCTTGACACATACTTTAATTGCTTTTTCAACGTGAATGGTTTGGTGATCAAAGTGAATTATGTGTTACACATACTATTTCTTTATGCAGATTTATAATTTGCCATCCACTGGAATTGTTTTGTCAACTCCAGAATGTTGATTTAATTCTAATTTTTGAAAAGTTCAAAGATGACCTTACAGATCACTGTAGGTTTATTCTTTATTTCAAGTTTTATTTATGATAGCACGTAGTTTCTAAGGCCCCCTAAATAAAACACTGTTTCTTTAAAATTCTCTTTTCTGTGTATCAATTATTTCTGACTGAGCTGGAATGGTGCTTTTGCCTGACCGAAGATTTAGCAGTAATTATCTCAGCCTTTCACAGTTTAGGTTTTCAATATGTAGATATAAATTAAATAGAAATGTAGTTACTTTATAACAATTCATTATATATTTTTGGAACCTGAATAAATTAAAAACTGGAAATTTTTTACATTAAAACTTGTTTAGATGAAGGCCTTGCAAGTCCTCTAAGGCTTCTGGACAAAAAGTTACACACGTGTATAAACTAAATGCATATGTAAGCTTTGCAGTATTCCTCATTTTGGTAAAAGCTCCTTGAATTAGATGATAGTATCTAATGCAATTTAAGAAGCAGTTATTGCTTACGTTACTAAACTGTGTGTTAAAGACCTGTGTGTTCTATAATTAGACATTATTATTTGTGAAACATGCATTGCAGAGCCTGAAACTACAGCTTATGAGTATCCCAACTGACACAGCAGCTGGCAGTTAAAACATGAATATCTTCACTGAACAGAGTTTATATCAAATATGTACAGCATGACTTTGTCACATGAAATCTATCAGCTGACCCATTTATATTCCCAGTGACAAGATTTTCAAGATTTCTGCTTACAACAGAAAATGTATCTAAGGGAAATACTTGATTTCAGGTAATTAAGACCCTGCCTTTTGCTTTATAATACCAGCTAACCACTTCTCTTGCTGTTTTCAGTTTCTAACATGGATAACCCGGACAGTGAAGTAGTGTTGTACTTGATGCTACGGGCTGTTGATAGATTTTATAAGCAGCATGGTAGATATCCAGGTATGTTTATACAAGCTATGTTAGTGCTTTTATAAATATAAAAGTCCAGTAGTTAATACAATAATAGTTAAAAACTCCATGTAAGACACTTGTTGTTTTTGTGTTAACGCAACTTTAATAATGCACAAATTATGTTTTTTTGGGGGGGAAATTTAAGGGATTTATCTAAATTGATACAACTGAAGTGGTTTATGAATTAATTTAGCTTCACAGCAATTTGTTATTATGAAGAGGAGCACCAATAGAATGATTAAATGCTAGTCTACTATTGCTAATATTAGTTGGCTTCTTTTCTTTTTCTGAAAAATCTCTAGTTAAGCTGTGTTTTAACCCCAATAATTTTGAATATAGTATTATAGTTCTATGATGGAATGGTGAATTTATTTTCCAGGTGTCTACAACTATCAGGTAGAAGATGATATTGGAAAACTGAAGTCATGTCTTACTAGTTTCTTACAAGAGCACGGTTTGTCTGTAGTGGTGAAAGATGACTATGTTCATGAGTTGTAAGTATAATGCCGTAAGAGCCACCTTGTAAAACTGACCTGAAAATACTAACTGTTACTTTGCTGTCCAGTTGTCGCTACGGAGCTGCTGAACCACATGCTATTGCTGCCTTCATGGGAGGTAAGAATGCTGTTGTGTTTCTAAGGCCCCCTAGATAACAAAGCAAACTGCAGCTGTACCTCCTTCCTTTCCTTCGGAATCTGTTTAAGCCTTGGGCTTGTCAGAGCTAATACTGGTATCATGGACTGTAGACAAAGTCCTTTGTTCTTTAGTTGTGACTCCTGCTGGCAATGAGTTAGAGTCAGTAAAAGAAACCAAGTAAACTAAAAACAATCCAGATGGATTGATTACAGTTTATTAATAAGAAGGTGTTTTTTTTTTTAATTGACTGGAAAAGGCTTTTTTTAAGGGATTACTTAAAATAATTTTAAAATCTGATATTCATAGTAATACCAAATTAATTATGCAATTTTAGAGGAAAATGTGTACAGAGTTAGTTCTGTGTTAAGTACTGGTTAAATATAAATAACCGTTACCATTCACCTTAATACCTGCAGATTGAATTATCTAAACAAAATGTTTTGAGTCATACATCGCTTCTGAGTGATCTTCTGATTGATGTGATGCAGTACCAGAAGTGGTTATTTTAAATGCAGTGTAGATTCGGAACTTCTGATGAAGCAGAAGTGGGTGTGTGGTGCTTTAGGGAAGTATGTAAAGATACTTATTTTCTGAAGAAATCACAAAATTCGTTCTTCCTACAGTGGAGCATGAACTTGATAGTGAAGTGACCCTTTATTTTTACACTGTAACTGTTGAATTGACATATTTGAGTGGAACTCTAAAACTAGGAGTTTCCAATGTCAGTCCTTCGGCGATCACAACTTGTGTGTGTTTTGTGTGTGTGTGCTTGTTTATGCCTGTACATGGCTGCTGTGTAGATCCGTGCCTGGAGACACGTGTACAGCAGAGCTGAGGCTGTCAGAGCTCTCAGAGCTGGGGTCAGTGTGCAGGGTGCAAATCTTGTCTTTGTGGGGCTTCAAGTGACCTTGTAACTATGTGACCTTTTTTTTTTTTTTTTTTTTTTTTTTTTTTTTTTTTTTAATAGGAGCTGCTGCTCAGGAGATCATTAAGGTCATCACGGGGCAGTTTGTGATTTTTAACAACACCTATATTTACAGCGGGATGTCACAGACGTCAGCCACTTTCCAGCTGTAGGGTGACCATATCCGTTCGTTGCCGCCGAGCGGTGCTGCAGCGCTCCGTCCACAGCGCTGGTGCGCCACGGGGCGGGCCGTTGGGCAGAACCCGCACACTGAACTCGTTGGCTGTCACGTTTTGTTGTGTTTTTTTTTTTTTTTTTTTTCTGGGGAACAAAAAAAATCATCCAAAATCCTGACGGGCCCCGAATGGCGGGCGGGGCGCGGGGGGGGGGGGGGGGGGGGGGCGGGAACGGCGCGCGCCGCGAGCGGGCGGCTCTCCTCAGGCGGGCAGCGGCGCGGGGCGGGGAGCGGGCGGTGCCGCCTCCATGGCGACAGATAGCTGAGCTGTAAATGGGCTGCGGGGCTGGCTGCTTTCGTCGGGTTGGCAGTGATATTTTTCAGAGCCGTTGCTCTACTTCGAGAGCGACAGCTAATCTGTTGTTGGGCTGGTTTTATTGCTGCTGAAAAGTTTCCACCTGCGGCTAGGCCATTGCTGAGAGCTTTGAGTCGGTGACTGCAACGCTCGCATCAGCCGTTCTTCGCGTGTGGGACTTGGAGCTTGGTTAAGGAAAATGGCGCGATCTGCCTGAGTGCGCTTGGGCTCCTGGGCCGCGGTTAGCTGAGGCTGCCCTTCGGCTCATCCCAGCACACCGCGAGTCGTGGCCTGGGATAAGCAGCAAGAGCTGCCAACGGGCCTTGGCTGCCGTTCTGCTTCCTGAGCGGGCGTAGCGCTGACTGCTGCACCCAGATCATGAGTGGAGTGCGCCAGGTTGATGTAGAAGCACTGCTGTGGACATTTTCATTTTACATATTGTGTGTGACTTCAGTGAGCTAAGATAAAGTCTTAGTGTAGGAAATACTTCTCCTGCTCGTTACTGCCTTTGTTTTTGATACTAATAAAGCAGTGCAGTTTTGGCTTAGTGACGGTAGGAAGGAGATGGTTTGTATTGGATGTCAGACGTGGTTATGTAACGTTATCTGGTGATCTCACTGCCTTTTGGCTGATGGCAGAATTGGCAGCCTGCTGTAAGCAAAATCTGAGGAGATTTATTGCAGTAAATGGCAGCACTGGGTATATTTGTTTTAATTGTAGGTGGGTTCTTTGAGCATTTCCACACTGCCATCGTGGGTCACTAGGTTGCTGCAAAACATTAACTTTGAAAGCCATTGGCATAACACGGTAGCTATAAATACTGTCCATATGAAATACAGCATTTCTAAAGGAAGGCTCTGCCATGCAAGGCTGTATTAAACTCTGTCAGATGATAGCATAAAATTTGAAAGCTGTAAAATTGTGTATTTTTAAATAGCAATAAAAAGTTATTTAACTTGCACTCTGTACAATGCTACAGACACTGCTGATTTCAGCATAAAGAAAATGTTTTTTCCTTGCAGTTGTAGAACAAGAACAGGGATGCAATAAAAAATGGAAAATCAAAAGGTGCAAAAACCACAATGTGGTAAGATACCTGAAATCATTTTCCTTTATTACCTAAATCTATTTTACAAAGCTTTAGTAGGTTGTGACAAGACTTTCCAGGGAGAGTGAACTATTAGAGGGAAGTGTTCTTTTTCCTTGTCAGACTTTAAAATTCTTGCCTTGTTCAAATGATAAATGCTGTTACCACAAAGTCACTTTCCTGCTAATATTTACCCATGTTTTTCTAGTATTGTAACTTTTTAAAGAAACCCGCAACTGTGCAGGTGCTTCAGATATACAGTATCTGCTGCTGCCAAGTTACTAAATAGTCATTAAATGAGTCATTACATTATAGCAGAAGTCTAAGAAACAAGTTATCATAATCATTTATCTCTTTGGGGTTGTATGTAGTTGCCCCTTTTCCCAAATGCTTTGTTATTAACCTACTGACATAAGCACCTGAGTCAAGGTGCTGCCTCTTGTGCAAGTGATTCAGTCTTTAAATAAACACCAGGTAGCAAGCCTTGGCATCTAGCTTAATCCTCCTGGATTCTCTTGGTAATGCACTCAGATTTTCATGACTCTGTATTATTCGCTAAATATACTTAATGCATCTTGCAAGTGGAAAACATACTATTTAGTAACTTATATCCCATTTACTAACAATTATTGATATTTACAATAAGGTAACAATGAAAGACCAGAAATATTAAAATGAGGCTGCCATTTTTAGCAAAGCAGTGTTCAAATAACTAACTATGGGTCATGATCAAATCACTGTAGGTAGGAATGTCTATAGTGGGATGTAGGTTATGCTTGCTATGTATAGATGTATAAAAGTGCTTTTCTTGTGCTTTTTTTTTTTTGTTTGTTTGTTTGTTAGATTACATATCCATGCTATGTTTTGGGGACGTTTTACTTTAATACAAAATGAATTTATATGAAGAAAAGATAACACTTCATGTGAAACTTCCTTTTTTACGTTTAGATATGAAAACAGATTTGAACTTACTGCTTGAATGCCTTAAATACCAGATGGACTGCCCTTCATCCCAGAAAGAGGCTTTGATCACTATTTATTCAATTTGTCAACAAAATAGTAAGAACCATTTTTCCCTTGGAAACAACACAGCCATTTTCATTTGCAATGTATGTTAAGAAATTGGTTGTTACTGTAGGCAGAAAAAAAACATTAGCCAAAGGACATAAGACTGGAACTGTAACATCTTAAGATTTTCTTCTTGCACAGTAACAAAAAGAAAATTAATTTTTTTTTCTTTCCTGTTACAGGTGAAGCTTGTGAATATTTACGAGAAATTGGTGGTTTGGGGTTTATAAATGATCTTGCAAAGTCAAGTGCTCATGGCATAGTGAAGGAAGCAGCTTTATTTACACTAGGAATCATAATAGAGAGTAATGGTAATAAACACTACTTCGTGTATTTCCATGTTGGCCGTGATAATGTTATATTGTGCTTTGTCCCTATCTTTTTGCATCAAAAATCATGTTACAGAATAACAAGTTAATGTGAAAGGCAGCAAATGTGTTGCTATTTCACTGACCACCCCAAGATTTGAAGAAATGGGGTTAGGGTTAATATATCTGTCTGTATGGGATTTATGTAGCCAGCTTGTCTGTATGACAACAGGCAGCTCTGCTTCCTCATTAACAAGTGTAATGACATGCAGACTGTTCCAAAGTTTGCCTGGGACTGAGGTAATTTAGAACTGATGGCAGGAGGAAGCCCTGAGTCCCTTTGTAGGCCTGTTTTGACTCTGCTCACCGTGTACTGGATACAACTGAGCATCTATTTACTGTATTAACAAACTAATTAATGACTGTGAATAGTTTGCTTTAGGAGTTAATGGTTTTTGTTTTCTGGTTTCAGTTTACTGCCAACAAACTTTGTGTTCTTCTGCATTATTTGAGGACCTCATTTCATTCTTAATGAATAAGGATTCTGGTGTGAACTTGAAAAGAATGTCTGTTTATGTCATCTTGGCACTGGTTTCAAATAATAGTAAGTGTTTTTTTGTTATAACACATATTTTACTCACATTTTCTTTTTATGTTTTCCAATGTGTGTGATGGAAATTTGGAATACTTAGTCAGAAATGTTTTTGTAAAATCAACTTACCAGGTTGCATGTAGATCAGACGTAGCTGTAGAATCATTTAGGTTGGGAGAGGTCATCCATGTAAGTAAAATAAATCTAAGTAAATTGTTGCTCACTGGGATTTCCTTAAATAGGAAAAAATATTGTAGTTTAACAACGTGATTATAGTTTTTAAAAAATTAAACCAGTGGTTTCGGACAATGTAGAAAAAGTTAAGCATAGAATAGAAATGCATTTGCCAATGTTTGTGTGATCCTCTGTTGAGAGGGTTGAATATGCTTAGGAAATGGAGGACTTAAATGCAAGTTAGATTTGACACTAAGATTTTGTTGCATTCTGCTATGTGTTCACTTTCAGAACTTGGCCAAACCTATGTCAGAGAAACAGGCTGCATTGATCTGCTGCTGCAGTTATTCAGGTAAACAAACAGCTGCTGTTAAAGCAGGAAAAGCAATAGAGCAGTTAGGACTTGTTTGCTTTGTTTTCTTAAACAGAACAACTCTTTCCACACCTGAGCTGAATCTGTCAGATGAAAATACAAATAGCTGCTACCAGCTGTGGTGTTCAGTCTGTAGCACTCTCTGTGCCTGTGTTAACAATCCTCAGAATGGTAAGTGCTGCTGTTTAAAAACTGTGGTAAATTATAAGTTTTGTTCTCGTTTTTACTGTTCAGCTGAAATTGCACATTATGCTTGGATTTGAGGTTATTTGTTTTTACTTTCCCAGAAGCTAATCAAAAGATTTGCTGTTCAGTCTTTCCGTATGCAAAAGAGTGGCTAGAAAGTTGCATGGAGCCTGAGATAGTTCGTCCTATTTGTTCATTTGTTGGCCTCACGGTTGCAAATAACTGTAAGATAAAACTTTAAACAGCTTTTATTTTGTGCACTTCAATACATAAATGTTTAATTCCCTATTTTTGTCAATTTCTGCAAGTACTTTTGCTGCCCTTACGGCGATCACACTGAAAACTAGATTCATTGGCTTTTTCTTACACTGCACTGGCTGCCTAAAAATACAAACGGCCTCATTGGTTACAATTTAGAGAGGTCAGTAAAAACAGTTTGTGGAGCTTATTTTACAAATATGAGTGATTACTGCATCTTGGAAAACAGAATGTAGGTGGAACTTGGGCATAATGTTCATCGTTTATATGTATGTGTTTCATGTTAGAGCAATTATTGCGTTTCTCAGGATGAACATAAATCCAACTTCAGTTCCTTTATGCGGGTGTAAATGATTAAAAAATGCGTGGAAAAATAGTGATGGCCTAATTAAGAAAATGCTAAAACAATTTGATACGATTTGAGACCTGTAGTATTTAAGTCACATTTTTTTCTGTTCTCACTAAGCCCCCGTGCAGAAATATTTTGTTTCTGTTGGAGGATTGGACACCTTGGCTCAACTCCTCCTCAAGCTGATGCGTGATGATTCCTGTCTGAGTCACCCTAGCACGAAGCTTGCAATAGTAGTAACAAAGACTCTGGATGCCTGCATTGCTAATGACTGTGAGTGGAAAGACTGCTGCCACTTTCATATCTGATAATTCTAAAATGCATTTTATTCAAGTCTAGTTTGAGAATGTGGTATGAATGGATATAAAAAGCAATTAAGTATATCCAGATCCAGTTTGTATTGCAGAGTCTATCAAATTCAAGATGCTAGTGGGAATGGTTCTGTTAATCTGAGGTGGGATAGTGAAATAAACATTAGAAAATTTACACTGAGAACAAAATTAAATTGCTGGTGCTAGTTGAACTGGAAATTGTAACCTTGGATCCTGGAGTTAGAGCTGTGCTTCTGCAGGCCTGTGTCTGTACTAAGAAGCTGCACAAGCTCAAGCACGGAGCGACATAAATGAGAAATGTGAATATAGTTCCTGTTGTGTCTGCAAAGCATCGTTACGTTGATTTACCATCTGGATGGTGATAGCTCAATGAGGTCTTTGTGTATTCCATCAGAAGGCTTTGTGAAATGAGTCTGAGTCAGAGTGGCCATAATTTAGTGTGTTTCATGCTTCTATCTCAAGTGCTCTGACTAAAGTTTCAAAGACCTTAAGAGAATATACCTGCACTGGTTTTGGGCCTAGTTTACAAGAAGTTGGTATGTGACTGGATTAGGTTTCAGCATGCACATAGTAGCAGTGCTGTTTCTGGTAAAGAGGGAACATCTTGCTGAAACATTCCTAGCTCCTTTTGTAGCAGTTTGGTTATGGAACCAATGAAGGATGAGGAAAAACTCAGCAGAGGTGTACAAAACTTGCACATTGCAAAACTCTCATTTGTCAGATCGACCACATCTCTACTGAGTACACTTCAGAGGAAAGGGCAGTGCTGGTTATGAGAAATAGCACACATGGAATTACTGCACCAGCACAGGTGTGGTAATTCAAACTGTTGAAATGAAAGTGAAACAGAAGTGGGACTGCTTTTGGAGGTCTGCTGACAGTGCCTTTAAACATCATATTTGAATGCTGCCTGTTTGTTTATTATCTGATAGATTTCTTTAAATTATTTTCAACATGATAGCTGCCATGGCTGTTGTTTTGGCGAAGTATCACACTGTGTCAGAACTGCTGAACCTACTGTCTAATGACACTCTGGATACGGGAGAAAAAATGAGTGTTATTCTAACAATTGGACACTGTACTGAAGTCTCTGGTAAGATTTTCTTCTTCTTTTTGACATATTTTTACTGAATTCTCATACATCAGCTACTTTAATGGTATCATTTCATCAAATTTGGTAACCTGAGGGAATATTCTATTAAATAATGTAATTTAATATTCACAAAAGTTTACTTTCACCTCTAAACTTTAAGACCTGTTAACTCATAGTATGTTTGAGAAAAGTAAGCTATTATGTAAGAATTCAGAGCTGGTTTTAGGGATCACAGGGTAAAATTCATCTGAAAAATTCTACAATTAATTCATTCAGACCAGAGGTCAAGAAATACAAAGCATAATTCAAATATTTTAGACCACAACTAAATGGGTACAAATGTCTGGTGTGTGATTTGGCTTAGTCCTTCGTCATGTTTCTTACAGCAGTTTTGAACTGTGATCAAAGCATCCGATGTGATGTAGAGTGCTTCTGCTCAGCCTGGGTGACAGGGTCATTACAGCATGCTTGTATTCTTAATAAGAATCTTTTACAATTAGTTGTTTTAGAATTTCCCTGGAGGTTACTGGTTTTTGTTTCTGAAACTGCTTGTCAGATTAAGCGTGTATGAGGTTGGAACGAACTGATTTTCATTATAACTTCCTATTTTAGAAGAAAACCAGTGTGAACTGCTCAAGAACAATGGTCTTCCACTTATGATTCAGGTACTAACTGAGTCTCAGGATGAGGAACTACACAAAGCTGCTACTTTTGTGCTGCAGAACTGCAAGCAAATGAGTAAGCTTACTGTTAGTGCTTGAAAAATCAGAGAGATGGTTTCTGTATTTAAGTTCTCTGAACTTTCTAGATTATTTTAAGTATAAAAGCTTTGTGTTCTTTGTACTCAAAGATATTTATTTTCTGCATGAAAGTTGTATGTTGCCACCATATAATAATTATTTTATAATTTTATTATAAATTATAAAATATTTGTTAAATAATTTTAATTTTGTTTTATACAGCTAAACAATTGTCCTTGAAAATAAATGAGAAGTCCCTAAGTGTGAAGAATGCAGAAGAGCTGGAGGTGGACATGCAAATCAGAGAAAGAAATCAACGAAACTACTGGAAGAAAGCAAAAGACATTCTGCACAGAATAAACTTGATTGAAAAAGAACATGAGGAGATCAGCATGTTTATGGAGGTAAGGTAAAACTACAGATTTTCTGAGTGTAAGGAGCTATAGGAAGTAAGCCATTAAGATAATTTCATTGTGAGCTAGGACATGAGAGAACATTGGATGTATGAGAAACTACAACCTGCAGCTTTTGCTGTTATTGCACATAATGCATACTTAGAAATACGAACTTAGAAGTGTGCAGTGCAATCAGGAAATGCAAGCATTTGTATTCTTAAGAGCTATTTTAGTTGATTGTAAAATCAGATTTTCTATGAAGTTGAGATCATTTAGGTTGGAAAAGCAACAGCTCGATTTTCTTTTAATTGCTGATCATTTTTATTTGTAATCTTAATATCTGCATGCTTGAAATGTCCATGATTGTACTGTTGTGACAGGATAGCTAATGGACAAATGTGATTACAGAATATAATACTGTTATCCCATATTTTCTTTGTGCCGTGTAACTACCATGGAATATGGTATCTTTGATTGTGGAGTAGCAATTTTTGTGTTACTTGGCTGGATCTTGAGGTAATCTTAGACTTTTCAAGTGATGTGTATTAGTAGCAAATTATTTCAGCCTGGTACTATGACTTAATAACTGCCCTTCAACTCTTTTGGTAGCTGTGCTGTTTTGTTGGCTCTCAATCAGTCAGGAGTTAAACTGATGTATTTTAGTTAATCTTGTTAATAGGTTTATTCAGCATTTTTAATAGAGCATGTTTAGTCATTAACAAATGCTTTTCAATTAAGGAAGGAGCGGAAGGAAGACCGTTTGAGAGGAGTTCATGGGATTTTGATGCTTCAATGCTGGCTTCTGAAGTGAATCCCAGTGATACAAAAGCATGTATAGAAAGAATGTGCAAAGAATTATGTGGTCCACAGTTAACTTCTAAGTTGGATGACGGAGTTCTTGCTCTAGCTGCAAATTCTTCTGCACTGACTGAGAATCCAGTAAATGCTTCTGCTAGAAAAAGTAAACAGAGTGATATTCCACGTTCAGTTTATGCGATGCAGTCAGACACTGCAATTCAAAGTTGTAGTGTAAATGAAAAAACAGCAGGTGAAAAAAGTCAGTCTGTTCTTCAGCTAAGGTAGGTATCTTGCATCAAACCAAAATTAGTAAGTTGCTCTTGATTATCATTTCCTGATTGAATGTCAGCCTTTTCAATTATTGCTTCCTAGCTTGGTCTTTTGCTACAAGTGAAAAGCTGTAAATGTTTGTTGTCCAGCAGGAAAATATTCTATGCAAGTGTTTTTGACATCAGAAACCAAAGATTATCGAGTCTGTAGTACCATCATCTGTAAAGTCCTTTTTTCTCTTAATGATAGGATTCTGATGGTGAGTATGGAGAGCCTGTAACAGGCCACATTCCAATGCCTTAAGCCTAGTGGTGAAAAAGCATCCATAGATTGTGGCCTTCAAATTCTCACGTTTGATTAGATGAGGAATTGACCCGTTAGTGTGGATGAAACCAAAATACTTCTGTCATGTGCATTTACAAGGAGAACTGCACTTATAGACCAGTTCTGCAAGAATTTGCATTTTAATGTCTGTGAATTAAGAAGAAAATTTTGTTTTTCTTATGCTTCTCTTCCTTCCTTGCTCTTCCTCCATTCCTCTGCTAAGTGGGAAGAAAAAGATGTGTACAGTTACTTTGCTGTTCTCTTGCTTTGCCCGCTTGTCTCACAGAACGCTTGCTTTCCTGTTTTCCTTCTCACGGTCATCTTCCTTACTGATAAAGAAAAAATTAATGACAATTTGCAAGAATAATTGTGGTACCATGGCAACATGTTGGTTGCATAAAAGTAATTGCTACATTGTGTGCAAACTGTAGCATTCTGCCAATTATGGAAGTTTAATGTGTACTAAAATGTGACGTAAACCAGAATTGAAAATGACTCTGGAAACCAGCACTTGGAAAACGCTGTATTCCTGATGCTGGAGCAGGCGTGCTGAGCAGCACTGCAAGGAATGCTGATAGCAGGCACTTGGTAATATGCTGCATGCTTCTTGCTGTGTAACTTGTAACTTATAGGACAAATAGAATAGGTAATAAATAGAATTGTTTTGTTTTTAGAATTTTCTTTGATTTTTGTTTCGTGTGGTTTTTGTTTTGTCTCTGAAATTTGTGTATTAATGTGCAGTTAAATGTGTTTTAAATTTTGTTCACGTTGTTAATCTTTCTAGGAAAGGCTTACTTCAACAACCAGGGAAGACTATTAAGCATATGAAATGGGCAAGCACACCAGGTACAAGTAGCTAAATGTATTCTTATTTTTAGATAATTTTGTTCTTAACTTTTAATGCTTGCTTTTATCACTACTTTTTATCAGGTGTAAAATCTAATTAGATGACAAAGTACATTATGTATATTCTGTAACTGTTAGAGCAATTTTGGAATTCTATATTGCACACAATTTTACCAGGAGAGTTTGTTCTGCTTTTATTGTAATACTTTTTTTTTCCTTTCTTTTTTAACTATTCAAATGAATGTCTTACAGATAAATACTTAAAGTCAAGTCTGAACACAACCTGTACTGAAAAGTATAAGCCCTTAATAGAAAATGTGCAGGGGAACTGCTTTTGTACTGCGCTTGTAAGAGCAAGGGTAGAACCTACCTGTGGGAGTGATTTCTGCCTGAAGCTCTCTGTGTTGAATGCTTGTAGGATGAGGTTTTTCAGATTTGCACTGATCTTCTTTCTCTGGGGTATTTATTTCAGAATTAGGATCTGGTCAGTCAAATCCTTACTCGTAATGTAGTTTACCATTAATTTATAAAACCATTCATGAGTTTACTGTTTGTCAAAATGGTAGCTTTACAAGGGTCCAAGCTGATCTCCACGTACAATTATTTAGATAGAGAAAAGCATTATTCCATTATATCACACTTTGAGCATCTGATTCTAAATATTGATAATGTTCATATGACTTCATTAAGCAGTGTAAGTTTACAGGTCTATTTCGGTCTGTTCAAGTTCAAGCGATGTGCTTCATTAGGAAATTAAATGTAATTATTCTGGATGTATGACAGTGTCAATATGCCCATTGAACAGAAATTTCTAAAGTTGAAGTTTTCTGCTGTTATGCCAATTAAACTTTCCTAGTAATCTACTAATAGAAAATACAACTGAATGTTGGTATGCTCATGTGTGATTTCCACAGAAAAAGATAGCTTGCATTTTCTTCCTAATGTTTTTTTCTTCCTACTTTAGACCAACATTCATTCTACTCAGAGATAACAAAGGAAGAAAAAATTAATTTGATTACAACTGCATCCCTTAAAATGACAGACTTCCTGTGTTTGGGTAAGTATCTCAGGTCTTTCTTTGCTAAGTTCAGAAAAGAAGAATTAAAGAACCAGCAATTCAGCAAGTAAACTTGGCATTACATAAATTACTTATTCTGTAATTTTATCTGCTTCCTTTCCTTTTTCTGCATTTAAAATAAAACAAATGTTGACATAGAGCTAATCTATTCCAATTTTGTTTAATATGTCTTTCCTCAAGCTTAGAAGAGCATATTGTAGCTACAAGAATACTTAGGAGCAGCTGTTTTCTTTTTCTCTTTTTGGAAAGAAGGAGGGGAAAAAATGGAGCCCTGTTCAGTTTATTTTTGTATTCATCTAGCTAAGCCTCTGACTATCATGCAGTTCTTTTTTTTCTGCCTTACTGCTGTTGAGTGCAGACAATTCTGAGATGTGTAATGAAACTTGGACATTAACTGTAGATCACAGTCAGCAAAATTCTGGATTTTACGATGACTACCATCCCTATTTTCTTCCAGGTTGTACAACAACAGGACTGTCTTTCAATAGCAGAACTTTTAGTAAGATGTTGCAAACTTGTCCATACCTGTGTGGCCGTCACAGAGTCATTCTGGAAGCTGAAGAAAGATATAAAAAGAAACTTCAGAAATCATGTGGCTCTAACAGAAGACATGCAGCTTATGAGAGTAATTTGTTTTTTACTAACTGTCCTAATTCTTTTAAACTGCGTTTTGAGTTCCAGACTTGTTTAGCCTGATTCTGATCATGCTGCTCTTGTAAGCTCACTTGTTTTGTATGATTTACCAGTAATCCTGCCAAATGAGGTTGGAGCTAGTCACTTCTGTTTTGACTTGGTGTTTTTGAGTCTTGTACTTGCAATGAAGATTCACCACTGCTTCAAGCAACGCTGCCAGAGTTTGTCAAATATTATTAATAGAAGAGAGTATATGAAGCTGAAATAAATGTGAATGGATGAACCTTGTAAGAAGCTTGTTTCATTCTAGTATAAACTGGCAAAGGATGTAAGAGGCCTATAATTATTAATCATAATTTTAATTAAAAGTACATCTGCTATTTTATGGTTTGAAAGAGGCATTTGAAAAAAAAAAAAACAAAACAAAACAAAAAGCAAAACAAAACAACAAAAAACAGTTTTCTGGCATTTTTAATGGTGTCCCATTTGATCTTTCTAGAGATAGTGCTGACTCCAGTGAAGAAAGGAAAACTGCTAGTAGAGACATCTTTAAAGAGCAAACAGGATAATTTCCAAAGTAAGGCCTTCACTTGGCAGTTAGTGCAAAAAACACTTATTTTCTGAATAATTCTCTTCCAGGGCTTCACCACGAGAGCTTGTGGATAGGAGTTATAATAAAGTTCTGTGAATGCTGTCATAAAGCTGTCAGACAATGTATGTTCTATAATTGTGAAACTATTACACTACTTAACAATTAAGTTTTCTGGTACATTGTTGAATCCTGCTAGGATTTCTTTTGTGCCACCTGCTATTTTTTGTTTTGTTTTGGTGCTTAAGGTGTAGAAAGGTAGTGGAATCAGAGCACGGTGCATCTGTCTGTTCTTGGATTCGACATAATTCTATTGTACCGTTATAGCTGTGTTATCCTATAATACCTGCTTTTGTTCCTTCTTGGAATTCTGACAGGCAATTGAGTTTCTATGTGCTACATAGCTAGATGTGTAAAACTTCAATTATACAACAATACTGGAACAAGTATTGGAAAAGTATCAGAAAGCAAACTATCAGCAAATTAAGTAAATAAGGTATTTTTTACCTGTCCTGCATTATGAGGGGTTGAGTAAGATGTTAATGACAAATGGAGATAGACAAGTGAGGATAAGTTCCATCAGTTGCCCCTTTAAAAAAAAAAACAAACAACCTGGTTATCTTGATAATGCACAACAACAACTGTTCATTTATAAATAGTGGAGTATGTATCTTTTAAAATACTCTATAGCACAGTGAAAAGTAAGTTTTATCAACTCTTTTCATTACTCTGCAGATGCATATATTATACGTCATTCCTAAGGAGTTTTCTTTAGAATCTGGTGATTCTGGGTACATGCAGAGCTTGGCCTACAATCATGAAATAATACGTTCATAGAGTAATAACCAGTACTGTCTCTTAGCATGGATGACTGGAAGTCGTAACACAGGCTAAAGCAGCTCTCTAAATCAGTTCTTAAATTTTTGAACATTCGTATTACTTTTTAAAAAAACAAAACAAAACAAACATTCCCATTTTGACAAAATCAGCCCACCCATCAGGGATTCCTTTTTAGTGATCTCTTTCCAGAACTTCTGTTTACTTCATTATTTAATTTCTGGTAATGGCTAGTGGATGATTTTTATTTTTTTGAATCAGATTCAAAACCAACTAATTTGGCTATGATGCTCATGAGAATTTTAAAAAGCTTTTCTGAATAGAACAGTTTATTTCATCTAAGAACCCATTACACCAATATATTACTTCTAGCAATTAAACATTTTCTGAAGTTAATTGGATTTTTCAGTCTTTCCTCAAAAACCAGGTGATAACATGGCTCAGAAGATATTGTAAGTTTTAGTTCCTGAAATGTTACCTGTGTGTTGCTGCTCCGTTTTTTTGAAAGTAAAATACATAATGTTTTGTTGTTTTTAAGGTATTCTTTTGACTCCAATTAGAAAAAGCAAACCCAATACTTTGAATAGATATCAGCATAATAAAAATACTCGGTTATCTGAAGAATATAACTTGCAACCAACATATGAAAAATGTGAGTATCGCCAGAAAATTAGTTCTGTAACAAGAATAGCTGAAAGATCAGGTTTTACCTTTAGTTCAGGGCACTGAAAAAAGTGTCCGTGCTTGCTGCTTGGAGACAAATGGCTGAGGATTTTAATAGATATTCTTGTAGCTTCAATCATAAGATTACTTAAGTTTATTTTAACTTAAATCCTATTGTTTTGCTACTTGCCTCCAGAATTTAACTAATTCAGACATGTTAATGCCAATAATGAGAAAATGGTCTAATGAGAAATAGATATTAGTAATAAGGCAACATGTGCGTATCCATGTTCATTAGAGGCAATGTTCCTTCCCAGCACAAAAGTCAGGCTTACAGTCGAGTTCAGTTAGTTCAAAGTGGACGAGGGTTGGCCTTCACAGTTTCATAGCCTTCCAAAAAAGGCAAGATGCAAACTTGGAGAGAAAGAGGGTGTGAAAGAAATGTGCAGCCATGAATGCCAACGGTCAAGAGAAAATTGTCTATGTTCACTTGATGAAGATGAGGTTACCTGTGTGCAGCCTTATACACTTGTCTTTATCTTTGTAAAATCACTGAAAACTGTAATTCCATTTGAAGTCACCTTTAACAGGAGCCCAATACCTAAGTGAACCATATTAAATACAGATCTTTCCCTGCTGATTCTACTGCAGTCATAGTGGCATATCCCTGAAACAAGTTAACTATTTTTCTGTTGTTAGTTATTTTCAAATAATGGAACTTCCACAAGTAATGGAAATGGAAGTATGCTTATATCCTGAGCTTGTGAAAGTTGGCACAGTATAGAAATGGTACACACCTAAAAGAAATAGCTGTCCTGACTGGAAAACAAATACTGAGAGTGTAAGTTATGTAAGCGCAACAAAAATGCAGTATTTTTCTGTGACATTTGCCTTTATTTGAGTAAATGGGTGACAGTGAAGAAAAGGCTGAACATAACATGTTTGAAAAATGTCATCGTATTGACTGTTTGCTGGCAACACAATTCTCAACTAGTTCTGAACAATAATGCATTCCTTCTAATGTGAAATACTATGTAAGTTGACATGATTTTTAATTACACCAAAATAAATGCAGAACAGTAAGAAATGTTACCTGGATATAAACACAAGAGCTTTAAACAAGAGAAGAACCTGAAAAAATCTCACAGATGAAGAAATTAATGATATTTTAAAGAGAGTAAAATAAATGGGTAATCACTGGAATTTGATTTTGTGGTGCTATGCATTTCACAAAGGATGAACAAATGCTTATCTTTCTGAGAAATACAACAGGTTACAGGTAAATGTCAAACTTTCTCGTATCATATGCAACTCATATGCACTATCAGGTCATTTTTTGAGCTTTTGTTCCTGATTCGCTTGCAAAGAAACATGGGATGAAAAATTGGCAACCTGTGAGCTGATCTTTGTGCCATTTCACTGCTGTGCACACTGAGGTTTTGAATGGTCTCTGTAAACTAATCAGTTTTTATGCTAATGGAGAACTAAACTGGGAGGCATTAGAGTGGCACCTGATAGGGTACAAAGGGTTTCAGCTGAGGGCTGGATTAATACCCGTGTTTGCTAGGAAGTGGATATGTTCTTGGTTCAGTCAATTGGTGAGGGTCTGTGAGATTTTCTGTTGTAGTTTTTGCTTTGTTTCATGTGTATGCTTCTTACACAGAGGTGTGGTTTATGGATGGAGCAGGTAATGTTACTGCTGTACTCAGTAAATGTGGGGGGGTTGGTGGCAACCATTTATACTCTGAAATCTTTTCTAAAAATTGTACTGCGTTTTGTGATAATGGTTGTCTTTATTTTTATCTCCCATCTTGCAGAAACAAGAAAAACAAGGATCATCATCAAAGTCTTTCAAGAGAATTTTGGATTTTAATACATGAAGTTGAAGAACAGCATTGTTAACAGTGAGGTACAGTTACTACAATTCCAACTTCTAGAGAATTTAGATGAGTTCAGACCCATGTTTTGTACTGCTAACATTCATAACAATTGTTATGCTTTGCAGATTTCAGTTAAACTGTAAGTTTTTCTAGCACCAATAAAGCTTTTACCAATAAAAGTTACTTTTAGTTTTTAAAAATGTAAACTTCTTTGTAAACTTTTGATCGTGACAATTAATTTGGCTTTGAGCATTTTTAGTTTGCTTCATCCCATTTGCAAGAAAAGGCTTATTGCCAAAATGCTAGAAGCTGGAAAGAAGCAGTGTTCTGACTTCCTCTTCATCAGTGAAATTAGCAGCTGAAAGACTTTGTCATGGGTTTGGTGTGTATGGGAAAAATAGGGTACACTGTCAGATGTGTAGGAGAGATGCAGCCAGATCAGCAATTCAAATTAATGGAAACGCTTGAGTGAGCGTGGAGGTGATAAAAAACCTTTCTAATGATAGCGAAACATTTATGATATAAATGCTACCAAGTACTGAATTGGAGAATGCAATTTGTTACTCAAGAAATCTACATACTCGTGGAATTTCTGTACACAAGATTGGGTACTTTTAGAGAGGACAGTGGTAGAACAATCTTTTCTATTCTTATTTGCAAATAATTTTGTGTGAGACAAGATATGTCAGTGGCAGAAAACACTAAAGGTATGTTTGAAAACTGCTCAGTATAGTGGATGAATCTTAAATGGGTACAAGTAAATGGTAATGCAGGGCTTGTGAAAATGGCAGAACTTACAGGTGGAACATTTAGTATGTGGTTTATTTGCAGTATTTCTTGACTAGTATGGATGACTTGGATGATATTTGTGGACCTGCATAAAATACTGCAGCAGTGAATGACGCACAGTGTAACTACTGGTAAATTTGATTTCATTTTATGGTGGGACTTCTTTGCTTGTTGTTCAAGTTGGTGAGCAGAACCACTGTTTCTGTTAAGTTCATAATATTTACTTAATCTTTTGGGAAAGCCTTTATGACTTGTTTTTCTTTTTTTCCATGATAGCCTTATTATTTGAATTCTGATTGTTAGTATAGAATGGCAAAAATGTAGTTACTTTGCTGTGGGCTTCCACAGCGATGTAGCTCAAGTGCTTAAAAACAAACCTGAAGTGGAAGCATCAGATGATGCTAATATAATAAATAGGTCTTTTAATGGTTTTCATCTTTGGCACTTCCTTTTTCTTACTCAAATGCTCAAGCAGCGGTAAAAATGCCTGGAGTCTGTCTTGTCCATCCTCTTTACTCGAGCTGTGCAAGAAGGGGGCTGTGAACGTCCCCTTGGGTCTAATGAGTCGCGTTCTGGAACACGCTGCTTCCGTGCCGCACAACGGGCGGAGCGGAGTCGCGCCGTATCCGCCGCCACCAGGGGGCGCCGCAGCGTCCGCCCCGCTCGCAGAACGGCACCGCCCAGAGCGGGGGGCGCTGCCGGGGCTGCCCGGGCGCCGCCTGATCGGAACGCGGCGCGGCCGAGAGCGGCTGACGGCCGCCGGGGGCGGGGCGCGGCGAGGCGGCGGCGAACGGCTGCGGGGCCGGGAGTGCGGCGGGGTGGCCGCGCGGGCGGGCCGGGGAGAGGGAGGAGCGGGGTCCTCGGCGGGCCCGGGTGAGGTCACTCTTTGTGGCGGCGGTTGGCAAGATGGCGCCGGTGCCGGTGGAGAAGAAGCTGCTGGGGCCAGACGGGCCCGGCGGCGCCGATCTCCCCAGCGAGGAGGAAGAAGGGCAGAACCTGTGGTGAGCGGCCGGGCCGGGGGGACGCGCCTTCCGGGCCCGCGGGCCGAGCTGCGCCGCGCTGCTGGGCGTCCCGCTCTGTCACGGTGGGGCAGCCTGCCTCGCGGGGCCGCCTTCGCTCCACCTGCGGCCGGGGGCTGGCGCGGGCCTCTTCTGGCCCGGGTCGAGCGAGCACCCCGCTCCGATGCGGCAGGGCCGTGAGGCGGCCGCGCTGGGGCCCGGCGGGCGGGGTGCGGCGGGGAGCGCGGCGGGGAGCAGCGGCAGGGCTGGGGCCGCGTCGCTGTGGCGGCGGCGTGCGGGGCCGGAGCGGCTCTTACCGCGCGGGGACCGCAGGGATGGGGTCTGGGAGGCTGCGGTGCTTGTTCTTAGGCGCTTATCTCTTGAAAACAGCGGTAACGGAAGAAAAATGTGTGAGCGAAATACGGTAATGGATTGTGGGAAGAGTTAGTCATCAATTGGAAAGTAATGCATTGCAGTGACGTGACTGCTAGGGGAGAAAAACTTCACTGCCTGTGCTCTAGGGATTGTAAATCTGTCCCTGCAAAGGTGGCTTATTTCTGGAAACGTTGGAAAGAGAAATGAACTCACATTCTTACCTGTTTCGTACCTGGTTTGTGAACAGGGTGAGTGTACCCCAGCCCGTGTGGGCTGTGGAACTCAGGGTGCTGTCAGGGAGTGTTGCGTGTCCGGGCTGTGTGTACGAGCTGTGTGTCCCTGCTGATGGCCTGACCGCACCTTCTGCATTTCCAGGTCATCGATACTGAGCGAGGTTTCCACCCGGTCGAGATCTAAACTGCCCTCTGGCAAAAATATTCTTGTTTTTGGTAAGTAGCAGATGCAGGAACGCGGCCCGTCTGCTTTCTGTAGAGGCAAAGCACGTTGAGAACAATGATGTGAACACACTGACGCATCAGTTGGATAAAATTAGCTCCTGTAAAGTGATCTGTGGTGTTCTTTTCTCCAGGCTGGCAGTTTTACTTTCTTTTTGGCTTATGCTGTTAACTTATAATGTGTAATTAGATAAATGGGGGGTAGTGATAGACAGTGGAGTGCTTCTTTCTTATTTCTGTGGTATAAACCATGGGATTCAGCTGGCATACTTGGAAGAAAACCCAGCAGGTTTTTCCCATAATCAATAAAAACACAAGAAGACTTTTCGTTTCCAGTTGTGTTTTGAAATTCCATTCAAGTTAATTCTGAAACTGTCTTTTTCTTTCCTGTAAAAACTTACTGGCAGGTGACGATGGCTCAGGTAAAACCACGCTTATGGCTAAAATACAGGGAGCGGAATATGGCAAAAAGGGAAGAGGACTGGAATACTTATATCTAAATATTCACGATGAAGACAGAGATGGTAAGGTCATCTTATATGTAATCTGTTTATGTGATTAAGTAGCTGATGTTTTTATGTAACTCTGGCTTCAATTTTGGGTTACACCCAAGTAGCTGGTTCCAATGTTGTTGTGTATGTTCTGTAAGGTATATTGATTTCTTAAGGGCATTTTATGTTCAGATTTGATCTGTTTCTTGCCTGTTTTATAGCTTCACCTGTGAATGAGGTAGAAGTGTGCTTGACCTATTGGTGTAGCTCAGGATTCAATTAATTTCAAGATAAATAAGTCTGCTGGTGTTGAGTTACAAGGAGATTATTTTCATTTAGTAGGACTGCCTTACAACTACAGGAAGGTGGTGGTGATACATCATCAAAATTTTATTTGGATATCAGATCAAAATTTAATATGAATTTTGAGATTTAAGGTTTTCTTGATTTCTTGAGCGGTGTGTGGAATTTTGTTGAACTGTAGCTGAGCCATTTTGTTGGAGTTGAATGAGTAAAGAACAGAACATGAAGTCAGAATTAGTGTTTCTCAAATTGCGGGTTTTCTCACTTGTCCCTTTTTGTTGCTGTTGGTGATGACGATGTTCAGAAAAGCAAGAGACTGGTCTAATGGTGAGAATATCACTAATCTCATTTCATCTATTCTGCTGAAGGTTAGAGACAGGAAGAGGTGAAGAGTGAGCTCGTTGTTCTTGCTCCTAAATCTGCCTGTGTCGTTTGGGCAAACTACTGAACCTCTTTGTGCTGGTTTTCCTCCCCCAAGACTGGAATGGTGGTCTTCCTGTATACGACCTTCTGAGTTTAAAATGGGAAGAAGGAAGCAGTGATGGTGGTTTAACTATGTTTCTGAAAAAAAGATGAACTGGGAAGATCCTGTCGTGGCATTTTGGAAATGGAAATGTACTGAAAGGTTTGCATGAGTTATTAAGTACTGTATGCATCTGGTTGTTATGGAGATTGGTCCTGTGCTCATGTGGTGATAAACTGTCTTTAGATAGTAGATTTGGCACAGTTCGTGTATGAGCGCACTGCCTGTGTCATCAGTGGATGCCTGATCTTACAGTTCCTAAAAATGTTTTGTGGTGTAAGTTGCAGCATTGAGGCCATTCCTTGCTGCTTGAGGTTCTTCATGTATGTGCTTCCTCACTGTGTATCATCGTGTTCAGTACTGTGTAAATAGATCAGGGTGAAGAAACCCTAGGGCTGTTAAGATGCTGTGTGATATGGAGCTTAGGGCAGCTACAAAGGAGATGGTATTATAAGCAGATGTAACATGGCATAAGTTAGATGTGATGTTCTTAGTGGTGCTGTTAAGCTTCAAGTATGTCCCTACTCTGGAAGTATTTGTGGGCTATTCCTGAAAGTGATAAGTATTTGTGGTGGTTAGGAGAGGCTTGTTGTAAGAGCTCTGGCAGTGTGTAGCAAGAGAAAATCAGACCTTTTTGACTAGCTGACTCAGCTGGATAATTCAGGTCTTCGTGCATCCCTTCAGTAGATGTGATAGGATCTAATAATATCTGCATCTTTCCTTTTTGTCTTGTTAGCGTCATCAGCAAGCTAAATAAATAGCAAAGTGGGTCAGGACCTCCTGACAGACGAAGTTAACGCTCTGATTTCTCCAGTACATGCTCTGTTTTGTTTTTTTTAACTCTTCACATGCTTTAGGTGTGTACGTATTTGGATACAGTTTTGGGAACTAAACCTTTGCAACTGTCCCACAGTTCTTGGAAGCCATGAAGAAACAAGAGATAGGTGGTCAGAAGCTAACTGCTGTATATTCATTTTTGAGCATACCTGCTTTTTACTGTATTCTGGTCTACTTGAGACCAGCAAACCACATGGATTTATTTGCAGAGGTGTCAGGTCAGCACTGATAACTGAACCTCTGCGTCAGGGTGAAGAAGGTCTTGTCAGCTTCTTTCTCAAGTGCTGGGAGATGACTTTTCCCTTTTTTTGCTTTTTGGAAGAGTTTATTATGTCCATGAAAAATATTTTCATCATAGTGCCGAGTCATTATCCACTTC